AATATTAATAATAATAATAATAATAATAATAATAATAATGATAATAATAATGATAATAATAATAATAATAATAATAATAATAATAATAATAATAATAATAATAATAATAATAATACATGGAATAATAATAATAATAATAATAATAATAATAATAATAATAATAATAATAATAATAATAATAATAATAATACGCCTACTACTACTACTATAACCAACAAAAAAATAATAAAAAAAATAATACTAATAAAAATAATTCCCTTTTCGCCCGATTATGTTACTTTTAGTTCGCGTGACTCAGCAGCCCGCCGGAGCTTCCCGGCTCGGGGTCACGGGGTTAATGCGGTTAGGAAGTTCGCATTTTTGACTATGTTTAAAACGATATAACTTCTTCCCCATCCCACATAGCAAACCATTACGTGGATGTACTAAAAGCTCAATGTCTTGAGATTTATTCTGCGTTAGAATGGTTAATTTCTGTGCCTTAGTTTTTGTTCTAGATAAGTGTCTGTAGAGTACCCAATTTGTCCTATTTTAGTTACAAAGTTATGAATAAATTATTGTTTATTTTTAAAAAGCACTACAGATCTCTCTAAAAATCTGTGTTAAACTGACTACGAATATCATGTCTTTTACCGTGAGAAATCTTAAATCTGCGCGAATAGAAATAGTCAAGTTATAAGAGAAGAAAGATGCACATTTATATTTTTTAACTAAAGACGATCAGCGTTAGCTCTTATTTTACTATTAAACTAGAGAAAGTTACTCTGCGTTTGTTCATGAATCATGCTGTGTCTGTGGCAGTGGGCCTACAACTAAAAAGATATATAATATAGAATCTAAGCGATTAAAAACTCACAAAAACCGTGTAAATACATAGGTAGAGAAAACACATTCATTCTTAGTTTTTGTGTCGAAAACATGCACGGACACAATTAGGAATGTAAAGAAACCAGTCACATTGCTACTTATTGCAAATGGTCATAGAAACGAAAAATAAAGCTGGAAAAGTCTGGTGCTGATTCAGTGTCCCTAGAAAGCTAGAAATTATTTCTTATAACCCAATTACGAGAAGTCATCTCTATTATTCAGTCAACTTACAAAACCTAGACTTAACGTTTTAAGAAAAGTAAGGAATTTCTAGAGTGTAACAGATGCTGTTCGTGTATTAGATCTACATTGAAGATGTATTCTAGCATTAAAATCGATTTGTACTTTTCATAGAGAAACTTCATGGTGACTTTTATAAACTTCCGAGAAAATATGCGAATATTCACGATTATATTATTATATACATAAAGTTGTATTTAGAGGAATTACTTCATAGCGAATTGTGTGTGTGCCCGATGGATAAAGTTGCAAAATTACAGCTTTCTATCATATGCGCAGATACCATCTTTTCTGAGTATCTGCACCAATGCTATGTCGTTCATGTTCCAAAAGTTCGACAGATTTTGATGAGGCCTTTTTTTATATTGATTTTTTTTCATTCACGCTAGTCCCCCCCAAAAAATTACAATTTAGCATTGCCGACTCCAGCGTGTCTAACGAAATAACCAGACAAGTTACAACGTCCGTTCTTTTTTGAGTCTCAAGAGCAGAAATGCATGCTTTGGGTGCACTAAATTAGAATTACCATAAATACAAGGATACACCTTAAATTGTACGTTGAAAAGTACCAAAAATTAAGTCGGCCCAGACAGCGAGGCGACAGGGAGCTGACCCACGTGACCCTAACGTGATAAGGCGCCCGGCGGGGAACCCCCCGCGACAACTAAAATTCCACTGCCGATAACAAAACAAGACTAAACAAAATAATAATAAAACTAATAATAATCATCATCATCAAAACAATTAAATGCCAACACTGGATGAAGCAATCATTTAATACGTACTCTTTCTGGTTGTTATAGAGGCTGGAGACGCCAGTGATGACGATATTTCCATGCGTTCTGATGCCCAAAAACTTGTTCCACTTGTTCACCCATCTCGTGATTTTACAGTTTCGGGGGGTTACACTACTCTTGTGTCCTCGTCTCCCTTGATAAACACAAACAAATTATTATTTTTTTTGGAATTTTTCTTTACAGTTGAAAATATAAAAAGTAATTTTTAAGAAGTTGTTTATTGTTGACAACAAACATGTATTTTTAGAAAGTTTTTTATAAATGAAAATTAAAAAAAAGTAATTTTTAGTTAGTTGTTCATTGTTGACAATAAAAAGGTATTTTTTAGAAATTTCTTTATAATTGAAAAAAAATAAAATTAATTCACTTTGTGGAAAGTTACTCATAGTTGACAATAGAAATAAATAATAGACTGTTCTTTATAATTTATAGTTTGCAATGAAAATGAATATTTGCGAAAGTTTTATTAGAAAGTTGTTCATAGCTGACAATATAAATGTAATGTATTTTAGAAAGTTCTTCGAAGTCGACAATAAATTCATAGTTTTCTTCTTTTTTTTTTACCTAGTTAACGACAAACCAATTTAGTTCTTAAAGAAGTTCTTCATAGGTTTTCTTTTCATGTACCTGAACAAAAAAAAAAAAGAAACGCATTTTTAGAGAAAGTTGTTCATAGATTTCTTTATGAACCTGAACGCCAGCAAAGAAATCTATCACCCCCCGGGGTAGTGCCACTGACTGAAGTGTCTTCAGGCCAATCCCCTCTCTCGTTCAAGCATAGTAGAATTGTAAATGGGCTGACTCATGTCACGCTCATAACTGCGCCTGATCTACAACAGGGAACTGCTGCTTTTTCTTTCCTTATCCTTACTACATGTATTGTCATTTTCCTCTACTTCTTTTATATGTTTGTCACTCTCTTGTCACCTGCTATTTTCGGGGTGCCTTGATAGTCGAAGCAGACCTTGTGCTGTTGAAGCTAGAGAGGTGAGCAGTCTAAGTCTGATTCACTGTAAAGACTTTTCTGTTCACACCCACCCCTTGGCGCTCATATGAATATGACCTTATGCAGTTGCGAGTGCCGTAAAACCCTCTACTAAAAAAAGAAATCTATATTTAGAAAAAAATTCATAATTTTCTTCGTGTACCTGAGCAAAGACAAAGAAATGCATTGTTCCTAGAATCCTCTACATACCTGAACAACAACAAAGAAATCTATGTTCAGAAAGTTGTTCTTAGATTTATATAATATGTACCTCAATAAGAACAAAGAACTCTATGTTCAGAAAGTTGTTCTTAGATTTATATAATATGTACCTCAATAAGAACAAAAAAATCTATGTTCAGAAAGTTGTTCTTAGATTTATATAATATGTACCTCAATAAGAACAAAGAAATCTATGTTCAGAAAGTTGTTCTTAGATTTATATAATATGTACCTCAATAAGAACAAAGAAATCTATGTTAAGAAAGTTGTTCTTAGATTTATATAATATGTACCTCAATAAGAACAAAGAAATCTATGTTCAGAAAGTTGTTCTTAGATTTATATAATATGTACCTCAATAAGAACAAAGAAATCTATGTTCAGAAAGTTGTTCTTAGATTTATATAATATGTACCTCAATAAGAACAAAGAAATCTATGTTCAGAAAGTTGTTCATAGATTTATATAATATGTACCTCAATAAGAACAAAGAACTCTATGTTCAGAAAGTTGTTCTTAGATTTATATAATATGTACCTCAATAAGAACAAAGAAATCTATGTTCAGAAAGTTGTTCATAGATTTATATATTATGTGCCTCAACAAAGACAAAGAAATGCACTGTTCTTAGATTTCTTTACACACCTGCACAAAAACAGAGAACTCTACGTTCAGAAAGTTGTTCATAAAGTTATATAATATGTGCCTCAACAAAAAAAGAAAAGAAATTTATGTTTAAAAAGCTGTTCATAGATTTATATTATTATGATATTCACCTCAACAACAACAAAGAAATTTATGTTGAAAAAGTTGTTCATAGATTTATATACATGTATATATATGTACTTCAAACTCAAAAACAACGACAAAGAACTCTATGTTCAGACAGCTGTTCATAGATTTATATATATATATAAGTGCATGAGTGAGTGAGTGAGTGCATGAGTGAGTGAGTCAGTCAATCAGTGAGTGAGAGAGTAAGTGAGTGAGTGAGTGAATGAATGAGTGAGTCACTATTACCTTTGATTCTGCAGCACCGGAACTTAAAGACTCTGTCCTCGTTTTTGTTGGAGGGACGACTGCTCCAGCCCGAGAGCACCATGTTGTGAGGGCAGAGGAAGTAGAGGGGCTTGTCAAACTCGTTGACTTGTTCTACGTGCGCGCGCGCGCGCGCGTGTGTGTGTGTGTGTGTGTGTGTGTGTGTGTGTGTGTGTGTGTGTATATGTATGTGTGTGTGTGTGTGTGTGTGTGTGTGTGTGTGTTGTGTAATCTGTTGCTTATGGATGTGCGTTCTAAATAAT